GGGGGGTGGTGAAAAAATCTCGCAACCCCTTTATAGAGAGTACATTATTTGAGTAATTTTAAAGTGTTCCTCCCGACCCTTGGCCTATGGTTATTCAGAAGAATACTTAAAAAGTAAAAGAAACCAACATTTTACCGACAATAGCCTCATGTCGAACGTTGACCCTGACAAACTTCCACATTTAACCTTTTATCTCATCAAAATACACCAGAAAAAAATGTATAGCTGGTCTGTATAACATCCTTAAATAGTACCATTGACACCTAGAAACTGTGGACATCAGGACTTAATGTCGTTTGAATTTTTATTTTATTTTTTACATCAGTAAGGAAACTTTATAGCATTCCACCAAATGTAGCTACTAGTAAATAATGGTGACCCTATGTTTTCCGCTATACTTTCCTAACAGTATTTACGATAAATGTTCCAGTCAGTAATAAAAACATTCATGGACATTGAACAACATCATCTTAACAGGTCAACAGATCATTAAATATTTATTGAAATTTTCATAATCTCAGCTGTACAGTAAAATTTCAAGAGTGCCGAGTGGATTTTTCATGACACTAGGCACAGTGCCTAGTGGTTTAATAAGTTTAGCCCGAGCCCTGTTTTGACCCAACCAGCTAAGTTGTTGGACCTCGACACCAAACGTTAGGATGGCATGGCTGGTCTTAATAACGTGCTGAAGTATTGTATCTAGATTTTAAAATAGTTTTGTTTGAAAGGTGACATTTGACATTGAAAGCATGGCAATGTTTATTCAAAATTAAGGCCCCTTGGCCTAAGGATGCTCCAGACTAAATTTAGTCAAAATCTACTGGGCCGTTTAGGACAAGTAGCGTTTTAAAAGGAAAATTTGACGGACAGCCGCTGCGGTATGGTGAGCTAAAAATGTCTATTGATTAGTTTACCTTGGAGACATACATATGATAAATACAAGTAATCAAAGTTTAAGGTTTTATTGTTTTTAATGATTCTTTATACATTTTTATACATACACACGTCATGTATACAACTTGTTTTAATTAACAAAACAGCGAAATGAACACAAACATAGACACAACAAGTATCATTTGAACAGCATTATTATTACAATGTTTGGGAAAAGTACTATCTTTCCCTCAGCTGCCCAATTACATGTGTTAATTGAAAATTCTGCAACAAAATATCTAGAATGAAGTGCAGCATGTATCTGATCTGGCCCACTATCAGAAACAAAACAGAACTTTACACAATCAATTCTTAATTTTTGTTTGTTATTACCATAATCTTTGCATCCTGTATCAATAGTTTGGGTATAAAAGGATATCAATATACGTGTACATGCATTGGACATAAACTGAGAAAATTTGAATCCATCCAGTCAGAAATTTTGTTTGTTAAACAGGGATCAGATTAACAATACAACAAGATTTGAAATGAGTGATGTCCAAAGCTAATGTCTGAAATAAATGTATGGTTAACTCTTAAGAGTGTCCAAAACGTTAAGCCTCATAAACAATACGGTCAATGGTTTTCTGTTGTACTCTCATAAACTGTAATAAATCTGCCTTATTAACAAATAATACAATATAATCATTCCCACTTTCTGGTTATCACATACACCTGTGTTTATTTTAAAAATAGAAAATGGGCAAATTTTTGACATCACAGAGAAGTGTTAAGAATATATTGTCGATCAAATAATTGTTTATGACTAGTGATGAAGAATGTAGCATCTAACCATAGTGTTGGCAGTAAAACAGAACAATAAGATTTTCTCTTTGCAATACAAATGGAGACACCTATTCAGCTAAATAGAAACAATTAGACTATTTAAACTTGTTTGAGTGTAAAACAAGACCATATGTGTTTACATTGACAAAACGACCATTGGAACTTTAGGTATTGGTTTCAGCAATTTTCTAATAGAATTACTGTTAACACCTTAAATTTTGTGGGAATTAACTGAACTCCTCATGCCTTGCACTGGTTTTGGAGTTATGATTTATATGTATCTATATCCCTAGCAATTAATTTTTCTCTTGTGCATTGAGAAAGAGATATTCTTTTATTAATGTCGGCAGTAAAACGGAAAGTAACAAAGAGGGCATCAAAATATGAATATTACTATGTTGGTAAAATGTACGCAGGATTTGCTTTCAGTGAAACAACTTTCACCTTCCATATTGTACCAAAAAATGCAAATGTGCACAGGTATCTGTAAGAATGCATTATATCGACTTATTCATATATACATTAAGATAGTTTTGAGGGGTTTTAGTACTGTATATTGTATTGTGAGGGAGATTTTCTTGAATAAGACTTTTCACGTTACAGATTATAACTGTAACTAAATGGTTTGTATAAAACTATAAAACTATTTCTGTACACATAAAACAACCCTACATTGCAAAAAGCCATGTACAAAGAAAAAGTAACTAGTTTTCAATTATAAAAAGAGTTGAATTTAACTACCTGGTATTTTTTTCATATGAAAATAACATAGATTAGATATTAGTCAAAAGATATATCCATTTATAGAGAAAAAAAGTAACAAGACGACCTGAGAATCTGGACTCTCACTTAGATATTGGAAAAAGAACATCATAATTCCTTCTCGATTTTGTACTCTGCTTCTCAGCACCCAGGAAGACAACATCCTTCTATAATATCATATCAAATTCCTTGATCCCAAGTGTGTTTGATAGCAAATGTGGTTGAAATATGATCATCTGTTCTGGAGGAGTAGGCTAAATGTAAATGCCCAAATTACCCCCTTTTGGGCTTAGTCCCAAGGAGAAGTTCATTCTCCTTTTACACACACAATTATTTCCCTCCAGGGCATATCCAAGAAGCATGGCTGTGCCTGTCCCTTTATTTCACACAAGCAAATATATGGTAATAGAATGGGGATCTCTTCCGTTCTCAAGTTATTTCCAAATGAAGAAACTTAGGTACCTTATGACAATGTATCACAACCCTTACCCAATGCTTACCCTTGACCACAGCAGTTATTTAATTCGACATTTGATCACCACACAACATATTGGAAATAATTTGCACTGCTGGTCTTCAAAACATTCCCAAGTATCTGAACTCTATAACAATAGGTCCTTTAAATGTGTCGAATCTTTAACATATTTGATCCCTCTGCTCTTGTCAGTATGTCAAGGTCGTTTATATGAGTAAACTTTTTAGTCATATACCTGGAGTGCCTACTGGGCAAATAATATGAGTTTAGACCTTTTGGTTTTCAACAAGAAATGATTTTCATAAAAAAACACCTTAGGACTGACAGACCCTGTGCCACGGTATAAGCTCACTCACCGGTCGTTTTTACAAGGTGAGCAAACAAAGAGGTTATTTTGCTGTTACAGAACATGTAGATAGAATTTTGTCTGAAGACATTGCAAAGAATCTAAAAAAACATGCTGTTTTAGTTTTCAAATAACACTCTTTGAATCTAAATGCATTGGAAACTTCATTTGAAAGAAAAATTCAGTAAATTGGGAACTCCTGATGTCTTTTCAACAATAGCAACATTTCCAAATGCTGCTCTTCCAGTAAACTGTTGACTTCGCTCAGTATCAAAAGATACAAAGTCTCGTGTCTGTTGCTGTTCTCAGTTGTGGGATGAGTGACTATGAATATCACTGGTGGTCTGACACATGATGTATGGGTGATGGATAGAAAAATGAGCATACAACAGCATCATACGTCACTTTTCCACAGTTTAATTGTCTTATCATTCTCCAGTGCTGCTGATGCTATAATGTTTTCTGTAGGATGACAAGCACAGCACAGTGAAACGTCTGCAAAAAAAACAAAAAAATAACAATCAGGAAATAGGCATTAATTACAATATTACAATATCAGAATACTTTATACAGAGCAATGCCATTTTTTCACAAACAGAGATCATTTGTCAAAACACTTAATGTTTTGTTTTGGTCTGCATCAATTGTATTTTAATAGAATTATCTGTTATTCTCTTAATACAAAAAGATTTTTACAAGGTACATGTAGGTAATAATTTCCTAACCATTCCTTGAACTACAATGATCAAATGCAAACCATGAATGAGATTTGACCTTTAAGAGGGAGAATTGGATGCATCACATACCATTATAATCCGACATTAAAGTTCTGAAGTTTTGACTCATGAAAGGTTAAATAATCTACCGTGGTGACTAGCCCATGCCCGTTAATAAGCCCCTCCCAGTTTCCTCATTTTTTTGGCAAGTTCATCAGCACTATTAAATAAATGTTAAGCTAACCAGATGGATGTCTTCCACACATGACTGCACTATTGGCTATGATGAATGGACGAGATCTTTGAACTGTTCGAACACTAAATATTTGACAATTGTGCTCATTTGTTATGCATGATATTTAATAGGAATCCAAATGTAATTAGAGAAGCTGTGAGTGAGCTCACACAGATATACCGCCAGCTTGTGCTTACAAGTTTCTGGAGCAGAACAGTTGAAGGGCAATAACTCAAGGAAAAATGGTTGAATCTTCATGCACATACAATGTAAATTCACTTTGTCAACTCACAACCCCTCCCCCAAACATGGTTTAGGAGAAGTTGCAGTTACAACTGACACAGGGAAGGATGTGTTGATTTCTATACCCCCCCCCCCACCAAACCGGTAAAATTGGCTCACATCCGGTTTTTCACACAATTTTTGCACAGGCCACCTGGGCTTGTCACCTGTAAAATATGGTTAGCTTACACCCTCTATCTCAATACCTGTATGGCCTTGAAGTTTCTGTACAATTTCTTTTGTCTGGAGATTCCAAATATACACCATGTTGTCTTCAGATCCTGACACAATCCACTGAAACATGCAATTTGAAAAATAATTAAATAATTCTAGATAATCACAGCAAAGCCTTCATAATAGATAGTGTGGAAATTATAATTAGCATTGTGTGAGATTAGGACATAGTGATATTTTTTACTTAAACAAGTATATTAAAATAAACTCATAAAATCAGCAACTTACATTTAACAAACACTGACAAAATCAAACAATGATTCATAATTAACAAATTGTCCATTCTCAAACACCTGTTATTATCTATCACCAAATACCAATCATTTTCTATTATTAAACACCAATTGATTGATTATCCAATCAATCAACAATAAATTATCCTTTATCAAACAATTCATTATCTGTTTCAAACATCAAATTATTCGCTATATCAAACATCAAATCATTATCCTTTAGAAAACATAAACTCATTATTCACATCCATTATTAAATGCCAATTAAATCATCAAATTATATTATATTCATTATATTAAATTATCAAAATACAATCCATCATCAAACAGTTATTCATTATTCTTTATCAAAATCCACTGCATTATTTATTATACCTTATCAAACAGTGTTGCGTTACCCTTTACATTATCAAATACAGAGTTTGCTATGTTTTTAGTATCTAATGTCAAAAACTGACTGTTTGACTTACTTTGCCTCCAGTGACTGAGAAGTTGGCAAATATACAGTACTTTTCATTCTTGTGTCCAGTGTAAGTCTTTAAACACTATTAAAAACAAAACATGGTACATGTAGTGATACACCTACGATATTTAAATGGTATGAAGAGTTATGATCTTTTGCCAATATTTTGTGACCTCATTTTCATCGTATGTTCAAATTTTGTTCCCTTACTGAAATAATTTTGCAATTTTTTTAACACTACCAGAATTGACCAACATTCATCAACACATCAAATATAAATAGTCAAATTTAATTACATAAAACCATGTCCTTGCACAAGAGAAATATCCTTATATCTGTGCATATCATGTATGTTGGCAAAACACTGTGTAAACTAGACGTTAATTAATCAATTATTGATTTCTTTGCTGCAGTCTCTCATTACAAAATAGTTTTTCTTGAACCACAAAATTCAAATGAACATGAAATTGTATTTTAATGGATAAGCATTGATTTTGTTATTCAGCAGGGTCACAGTGACCAGGTTCAACAATGACAACAGAAACGAAACCAGCAATCACCAAAATAATCTGAGCTTGGGCATTTCAGCATTACTAATATCATAGTATAATCCTTTGACTGTCAAAGTTTCAGAGAAGAAACAATGTATGAATGTTACCGGCAAGTTAAGTAATGATGCACAGTAATGTAGACCTACCTTTCCTTTGCTGTAGTCCCATAACTTTAATGTGCTGAAATAAAAAGTTGAAATATATAATCAGGTGAACAGTAAACGGTCATTGCCCCTGCTCTACCACCCTTCGTTTAGTGTAGTGGTAAATCTTATTTCCCTTTAGATAGATCAGTTGAATTAATCCTAGGTTGGACAAGAGAGTTCCTATCTCAGATTTAAAGGTTCTTGATAAATAAATGATAGATGGAGAGAGCACATCTGCAGGAACATTATTAGAACTGGCCATGGTTGACATTCCAAATAAGCAAACAGCAGAAAACTTACTTGTCTAATGTTGCTGCAAGAATATATTTTCCATTGGGTGAAAACTTTACGAAGGATACTGGTGGGTTATCATCATCTGTGAATGAATAACTTTTGTGTAATACAACAATTTTACAAAATCAGTGATAAGCAAACTTCAGAGTTATTACTTTAAGCCTGAATTTCTTACACTATGATGAAATTTCCCATATTTTAAACGCAAGAATATGAAGTATGGTCAATATGAAAAGCATGCACGCTTTTATTTATAAATAGTACCATTTTGGAAGTTACAACAAACAAGCGGGCTTCTGGATAAATATTGCATGATGGATAGACATCCTACCATAAAGCACAACACATTTTCACCTGGTCGAAATCATTTTATTGATACCATTTTATTTTTTCCCCCACAGGAAATAATTGCAAAAGGTATAAAAACATTGTTTGCTTGTGACTTACCTGCATATATATTTTAGTGGGAAGGTAGGTAAGTACATTGTTTAACGGTTTTTTTTTTATGGTTGGTCTGTCACAAGAAAGTGATCAGAGTGTAAAAACACACAAACACTGTAGATAGATGGAGTACCTTATCTACTACAGGTAGCGATGAAATGTTGGAAACAGTTTCATTATCCATACTGTTTATCAAACCCTCTACAACTTCATACATTTGTTGTAATGGCTGCTTATTTAACTCATTCACCCCTGAAATTTATGACGACTATTCCAACCTTTGAATCGGAAGGGTTCAAATGTGTCGTCAGGGATGAATGAGTTCAGTGCTGAAATTGTGATGTGTCCAGAGGCTGTTACAAACCTATTAATGTTTTGAGGCATTGTCCAGAAGCTGTGTCCCATATCCGACTGAAATGTCAAGCAAGAAACTAAGTAGGAAATTTTGAAAAATGAAGAAAACAGACTTTGATGAAATAACATGAGAATTCAATCATTAACGACCAGGTTACAAGATAACAAATTTAAAGCAAAACTCTTTTTCAAGTATTAGTAATTATGTATATATATAGGTGTGCGACGTTTCTTTTTTATATAGACGTTCTTTAACACACATATGGATGATCACTTCAGAAAATCGTTTAAAAACAAATGTGTACCTAAAATATTACTTCTGTACTAGCATAGACAAAAATGTTGTGCCATTTTCCTGAAACCAGACAACATAGCTGAGTTTATTATCTAAATTCCAATCCTAATTAACTTGGTTCAATATCTAATACAGCCTCCGGGATTCAATAGGCTTAAATAACTGCAGTGTACCATGCACAAGATAAAAGATAAAAAGATAAATGTCAGAATAAGTACACTAAATGAGAAATACTACTTATACACTCACCATAAACCATCATAACTACTGGATACTATCAAGGAGCCATCTCTGTTGAAGTGTACCTGTAATTTAAACACAAAGAGTTTAATCAAGATACATACCTTAAACATGTGGTGTTGTACATACTGTCAATTTGGAAACGTTTAAAGTTTGAAACAGAAAACAATGTAAACACTGGGTATTAAATACATAACTCAGGCCACTATCATAACTACACTGAATCTGTTCATGTTTTACTCAATATTAAGAAAGAAATCCATTATCATTAATATCTTAAGACACTTTTGCTTACCATGATACAAAGACAGTAAAGCGGAAAAAAAATGTACAAGTGCTTCTATCTCAATCTTTTCTCAGTTTCTACTTGTGCTTCTATCTCAATCTTTTCTCAGTTTCTACTTGTGCTTCTATCTCAATCTTTTCTCAGTTTCTCTTTGTGCCAATTTTTTTATCGTAACTGAAAATACATCTACACTTACTGCAGTAACTGGATCCGAATGAGCAGGGAGCGTTTTTAAACACTTTCCAGTTTTCACATCCCATATTCTTACACTCTCATCAAACTGAAAGCAAACACATAAAAATTAATAACATAAAGGAGTAGAATTGCAAGAATGTAATCATTATTCATTTGCCCAATTGCGCCTAGTTAAATCTGTTGAATCCTGGTCTAGCCACTCTGAACTTTTACACACAGAACACTGTTGTTGATTATATTTTGCTTATTTCATCTTTATTTTTTCATGAAAGTCTGACAAGGTATGGTTTCCTTTTTAGAAATGATTTATCAAAGCTATGGATCCTTAATTAGAATTTGTGTGTTAACACATGTAACCAACTTGGAAGCAGATCTACCCAGGTCAACGAATTGGACTACTTTCGTCTTTTAGAAAAAAACTTTATTTTCAGCAGTGACAGAAACGTTTTTTAAAAGAAGCAATAGTTACACTTGTACAAGTGGATCCCTACCCAACTATACCTAAGTGCTTTTAGGAAATTATCTATTAAGGCTATTTCTAGTTCATTACAGAAAATACTAAACAAATTCATTGATGGAAGCACAAGATTTGATACTTACCGACCCTGAAACTATCAGGTTAGACTGTGGGTTGAAGTTACAACAAAATACATAATTACTATGGCCCTTCAAAGTCTTCATACATTTCCCCTGAAACAAAATTATGTAGGATATTATTCATTAAAATGAGAAGATACATGTAACACTCAATCTGGAATCAAATAAGCTTACAGATGAATTTACCCTAAGACTTGGTAACAGACTAAGTGTGGGATTATCATCTCCAATTATCAATGGTGTTTTTACTGCCTTTATAATTGGATGAGCTTAACATCCCATACCAATTTTTTTCTAAAAACTTTTTATTTCAATCTAAACAAATGTATTGAAAAGCTATATGTCTTTTAAAGTTTGCCTATTACATAACTGTCAATTCAAAATTCATCAGCTTTTTGATCATTAAGGTTAATTTGAAATAGATTCACAAAAATTTCGATGTAAAATCAATTATTAAAGAAAGAAGGTAAATAAACTATTCCCAGGTTAACCATGAAAAATGTTTTTAGTAACCACTTCAGAATTTCAACATTAAAGTACCTACTGTTGCAAAATCCCATATCTTCAGAGTTTTATCATCAGATGCACTGACAAGCATGCGACTGTCCGTAGACCAGGCTACATCAGATATACCCTGTGAACAAATGTACAATTTATAATAGACAAAACAACTGTCTGTAGACCAGGCNGTGGCTACATCAGATATTCCCTGTGAATAAGTGTATAATTTATAATAGACAAAACAACTGTCTGTAGACCAGGCTACATCAGATATACCATGTGAATAAATGTACAATTTATAATAGACAAAACAATTGTCTGTAGACATTTAAACAAACATTTTTGACAAATGCAACTTCAATTTGATTAATACCTAGTTAAAATACATCCATATTAATTTTTAAAATCACAATATATTTTGTACTCACCAATTTGTGACCACTTATTGTTTTCTCAAACTTTCCATCATAAGCTCCCCAAATTTTGATCAGTTTATCAGCAGCTGTTAAAGAACAAAATATCCATGTATTAATAATTATTCACCAGCAAGTCTTTTCTTAGTACACCTCTAACATATCATGCTGTCTGTTTTTCTTAGTACACCTCTAACCTATCATGCGGTCTGTTTTCCTTAGTACACCTCTAACCTCTCATGCTGTCTGTTTTTCTTAGTACACCTCTAGCCTATCATGCTGTCTGTTTTTCTTAGTCCACCTCTACCCTAACATGCTGTCTGTTTTCCTTAGTACACCTCTAGCCTATCATGCTGTCTGTTTTTCTTAGTGTACTCTAACCTATCATGTTGTCTGTTTTCCTTAGCACACCTCTAACCTATCATGCTGTCTGTTTTTCTTAGTCCACCTCTACCCTAACATGCTGTCTGTTTTCCTTAGTACACCACTACCCTATCATGCTGTCTGTTTTCCTTAGCACACCTCTAACCTATCATGCTGTCTGTTTTCCTTAGCACACCTCTAACCTATCATGCTGTCTGTTTGCCTTAGTACACCACTAACCTATCATGCTGTCTGTTTGCCTTAGTACACCACTAACCTATCATGCTGTCTGTTTTCCTTAGCACACCTCTAACCTAACATGCTGTCTGTTTTTCTTCGTACACCTCTAACCTATCATGCTGTCTGTTTGCCTTAGTACACCACTAACCTATCATGCTGTCTGTTTGCCTTAGTACACCACTAACCTATCATGCTGTCTGTTTTCCTTAGCACACCTCTAACCTAACATGCTGTCTGTTTTCCTTAGTACACCACTACCCTATCATGCTGTCTGTTTTCCTTAGCACACCTCTAACCTATCATGCTGTCTGTTTTTCTTAGTGTACTCTAACCTATCATGTTGTCTGTTTTCCTTAGCACACCTCTAACCTATCATGCTGTCTGTTTGCCTTAGTACACCACTAACCTATCATGCTGTCTGTTTGCCTTAGTACACCACTAACCTATCATGCTGTCTGTTTGCCTTAGTACACCACTAACCTATCATGCTGTCTGTTTGCCTTAGTACACCACTAACCTATCATGCTGTCTGTTTTCCTTAGCACACCTCTAACCTAACATGCTGTCTGTTTTTCTTAGTACTCCTCTAACCTATCATGGTGTCTGTTTTCCTTAGTACACCACTAACCTAACATGCTGTCTGTTTTTCTTAGTACACCTCTAACCTATCATGCTGTCTGTTTTCCTTAGCACACCTCTAACCTAAGCTGTCTGTTTTTATTAATTAGGGGGTAGGGTTTGAATGGGTCAGTGGGAGAAAATGACTTATTTGCTTACCAAATTATCCACTTTGAATAAAAAGAACTTAATTTTAAATTTCTTTTGCAATAAAGTAGATCACGACTCTTTTTTTAGAATTCCATTTACTCAAATAAGCTGCCTGTTTGCCCATGTTGACAAAATTGTCATTCCAAATCATATTTAATACCAAATCAGTTATTGAAATGTTTGCATTGGACTTTAAAACACATACACTTGTATTGAAATTTTCGCTGTTTATTCCAAGGTCTAAAGGTTGATATTCAATGTTATTTTATCTTTTTCTAATCTTTTTTTGGCAAAACCAATCCTTTATATAACATTTGGTTCCCTGATCTCTACGATGCTTCACAGAAAATTTGTGAAAATAACTGATGAAAAAAATGACTAAGTTGAAAGTGTTAAGACCTCCTTGTTACTCAGAAGACTTTTTTTATATTTGACCCTTACGACCTTTGAACAAACCTGATAGACCGTCATGCCATCATGTAACAGACCATATATCATGTCCCTAATCCTTTTGGTTATTAAGAAGGAGTTGTTCAAAATATTTCAACTAAGTCAAGGTTTTTGATTTGAGAAAACTTTAATGGTCAAATAGCATCACCCTAGACCTCAGAGGATTTTAGAAGATCTTAACCTATAATAGTCCATGTTGAACTTTGACATGGAAAGGTGTCAATGTTGACCTTTAACCTAAACACTTACAATACATGCTCATCAAAAGACCTGCATGGCTGGTCTTCATTACATACTAAAAAAAATATTGCTCTACACCTTTTCAAATTTCAGATAATGTCGTTAAATTTTTAATACATTTGACCCGGGCGACCTTTAAAGCATTCAATCCCAGATAGCTATTGGATAAATGTCGTGACCCTAGGTCTTTTAGTTCTTCAAAGAAGACATTCGAAGAAAAAAAGCTGACGAAGGACAAATGACATACTGTACCATAAGCTGGCAGGTACTTTATGCCTGGTGACTCAGGTGAGGCAAAAATTGTACTTACATGAGCTCGCAAGCCACTCCCCACTTGGACTGAACTTGACTGATGATACTGCTTTGGTGTGACCAGCCATGGTAAACTTCAAAGTGTAGTTTGGTTTCTAAGCACAAAATAGTACAAAAAATTAATATCCTGATATATCAATCTAGTAAATTCAGTTTGAATAGTAAAATCCCATCTTTAAATTTCAAGCAATTTAAATAACACACGATAGAGCTGATGCTGTTTTTTTGAAAACTGGTCCATCTTCTGACAAATACACATGTAGGTAAATCATGACTTTATATAACAAGAGGCCCATGGGCCTTAACGGTCACCTCATATATTTAAACAGAGAGTTTATTTTGTTTTTAACATGAACAGAAATATTATTCAAAGTGACAAAAAACAATAAAACCACCTTATTCAATATCTAGCATACAGATTTCAGACTAAAAAGTATTTGAAACTAGCACCTCTGATTCTAAACAAGGAAAATGAAGAAATTTTAGCACACTGACTCCTTTGAGCCCCACCCTACAGCCCTTGGGGGTAGGGCTGGCTCAAAATTTTCAAAGTATCAAACTGTCAACTCAAGGTTATAATTCCAATCAAGTTATTAACATGTAATATTCAAAGTATCATTTGCCATTATAAACCATAATAAATTTTGCCCCCC